GGGGGCTGTTTCTGCAGCTTTGATGCCGGGTTCTTTCAACGTCCAAGCAGGCCACGCCAGAAAGGGAGGGAGGGATGGAGGGGAAAGGAAGGCAAGAAAGAGGAAGGAGGGAAGAAGGGAAGGGGGGAAAAGGGAGGGAGGGAAGGAAAGCAGACAAGAGAAAGGAGGGAAAGAAAAAATAGAGAAAAGGGAGGGAAAGAGGGAAGGGAAGAAAAAAGAGGGGAGGGAGGGAGCCCATTTCTCAAGGTGAGAAAGGAATAGAATGAAAGAGAGAAAGAAAAGTGGAAGAAGAGGGGAGGGGAAAAGGGGGAATGGATAGGGAAGGAAGGAAGGAGAGAAGGAAGGAAGGAATGAGAAGGGGAAGGAAGGAAAGATGGAAAGAAGGAAGGAAAGGAAAGAGAAGGAAGGAAGGAAGAAAGGAATGATAGGGGAATGGAAGGAAGGAAAGAAGGAAGGAGAGAAAGAAAGAAGGAAGGAATGAGAAAAGGAGAGGAAGAAGGAAGGAAGGAAAAAGGAGAGAATGAGGAAGGAAGGAGGGAAGGAAGGAATGAGAAGGGGAAGGAAAGAAGGAAAGAAAGAAGGAGGAAGGAATGATGCAGGGAATGGAAGGAAGGAAGGATAGGAAAGAAGGAAGGAGAGAAAGAAGGAAGGAATGACAAGGGGAAAGGAAGAGGGAAGGAAGGAAAAAGGAGAGAAGGAGGAAAGAAGGAGGGAAGGAAGGTATGAGAAGGGGAAGGAAAGAAAGATAGAAAGGAAAGAGAAGGAAGGAATAAATGATAACGGGAATGGAAGGAAGGAAAGAAGGAAGGATAGAAAGAAGGAAGGACGGAATGGGAAATGAAGAAAGAAGGAAGGAAAAAGGAGAGAAGGAGGGAGGAAGGAGAGAAAGAAAGAAGAAAAGAAGGAAGGAATGTGAAGGGAGAAGGAAGGGAGGAAGCAGAGAAAGAAGAAGGAATGAGAAGGGGAATGGGAGGAAGGAAGGAAAGAAGGAAGGAGAGAATGGAAGAAGGAAAGAACAAAGGAAAGAAGGAGAGAAGGAAGGATTGAGAAGGGGGAAGGAAGGGAGGAAGGAGAGAAGGAAGGAGAAGGGGAAAGGAAGAAGGAAGGAAAAAGGAGAGAAGGAGGGAGGAAGGAGAGAAAGAAAGAAGAAGAAAGGAATGAAAAGGGAGAAGGAAGGGAGGAAACAGAGGAGGAATGAGAAGGGGAATGGGAGGAAGGAAGGAAAAAGGAGAGAATGAGGAAAGAAGGAGGGAAGGAAGGGATGAGAAGGAGGGAAGGGAAGATGGAAAGGAAAGAGAAGGAAGAAAGGAATGATAAGGGGAATGGAAAGAAAGAAAGAAGGAGAGAAAGAAGGAAGGATGGAATTAGAAGGGGAAAGGAAGAAAGAAGGAAGGAAAAAGGAGAGAAGGAGGGAAGGAAAGAAGAAAGGAAGGAAAGAAGGAAGGAATGAAAAGGGAGAACGAAGAAGGAATGAGAAGGGGAATGGGAGGAAGGAAGGAAAGGAGGAAGGAGAGAATGGAAGAAGGAAAGAAGAAACGAAGGAAAGAAGGAGAGAAGGAAGGAAGGAGAAGGGGGAAGGAGGGGAGGAAGGAGAGAAGGAAGGAGAAAGGGAAAGGAAGAAGGAAGGAAGGAAGGAAGGGGCCCACTTCCCAAGCGGAAAACGAAAGGCATCGATGACTACGTAAAACCCCCATCAGGCCGGCTCCTTCCTGGATTCAATCCAACGCGCAGTCCGCCGTCTTTCACAGAATTCCTCGCCGGGCGGAGCCGAAGGGCCTCCGGGCTTGGAAAGGGGGGCAGGACGGGCATCGGGCTGGCAAAGTCCCGCTCGCTGGACCCCCCTTTCCGAAGCCTTCCTATTGGGGAGGGTGGCTTGGTTTTTTTTGAATTCAGCGGTGGGCTTAGCCTTATGGGTCCGGCGATCCCTGCCCTACAACACCCCGACAAGGCAGGCCACTCCAGGGCTACGCCAAAAAAGAAAGCGGGAGGAAAAAGGGCTTCGCCTTGTTCCCCCCCCCCCGAAGGACAGGGGAAGGGGGCCCGCGACCCCCAGCTTTGATCTTCCTTTCCAGGACCCCCCCCCCTTTCATCACTGATTTAGGCACCCTATGGGCTGAATCCGCCCCCGGGCCTTGAGTTTGACACTCCTGGCCTATGGCATAGT